CTGGCGCTAAACAGCCGCTGCTAACCCGCGTCTGTCCTCTGGGCCTGTGATTGGCTGTTCCCACAGCACTGCAGGGACACTTTCACGCACGTGCCGCACATTCCTGATCTGCGCTGTGGATAAGTGCAGCTGCCAAGTGTGCGCAAAGCTTCCGTCAACAGAAATGTCAGGTAGGTGACTTTTAACACACGATCTTTATCACGTAACACTTTGTTCCACTGAGGAATCAAACACGCGTCAGTGTGCGTGACCTTCCTTCAATGCAGTTTTATTTATACAGCGTCAAACCACAACAACAGTCGCCTCAGGGCGCTTTATGTGTGAGGCAGAGCCCGCAGTAGTAACCTGTGGAGAGGTTAACTGAGTTAACTTCATTAACGGAGTCGTGACTCTCTCGAGCTTCAGTCAATGAAAAACGGCGCACTGAGTAATTCTGACATGAAACTCGTTGCGTGCGGTTCCCCAACACTCTCCCACGCAGTGAGCCGTGAAATGTGACACTCATGCAGGTTAACATGCTTGTGATCTGACTGCGTGCTCGGGATATTCAGCCATGCACACTTGGCTCTACGTGACGCGTGATTTACAACCACAATAGGAGTGTAACCATGTACCCACGCATCAGAAGAACCAGCAGTGGGCTGTGATTTATTATTAAGAGTTCCCAGCAGGCTAAAGGTTATTAGACTTACATTCACAACAAAACTTCAATCCTGTGTCTATGGTGGCGATGATCCACTCTGTGAAACCACTGACCACTGCAGAGCGACTGTGGTTTATACTGACACACACAAACAACAACAACACAAATCCCACCTAAAAGAGACCCCCTCCTAAATGTACAACCACAGTCACCAATGTTGGGACTTTGTGTAAATGTAAATTAAAACAGATGCAGATCTCTTTAAGCCATATTTGATCCGAGCATCTCAGCTGTTGAAACTTAGAAATCTACTGGATTTGTTTAAAAACAAAGTTGAAAACTGAAAGCAGTTTGTTGTTGATGTTTCTTGATGATTCAAATGTTTTTAGATGGTAGTTTTCAGGCTGCTCAGCCAGACAAAGACATGCCTTTCTAAACACAGCAGAAATAAAACACGTCTGGATGTGTGACTCTAAATCAGGGTGTCAAACTTCAACGAGCCACTGTTGGCCACGCCCACTTCAGTGTCCGAGTCGTACAAAAATCCCAACAAACAAGAAAACAG